ATATATATATATATATATTATATATATATATATATATATATATATATTATATATATGTATATATATATATATATATATATATATTAATATATATAGTATTCGAATGGGAGTGAAGGTAATAATGTCATTTTAATTTATTTTTATTTAATTTTGTTATATTTCCCTTGTTATCTGTAGTTATGATTTAATTATCATTACTATTGTTGTTATTTATTTGATTATTTGTGATTTATTTATTTATTTATTTGTTTATTGTGGTTATTGCTCAAGGCTCGGAAATATAACGGATCCCAGTTGGGTAATTTTCTTATTATTTGCTTTATGTCAACAATTACTTTAAGAAAATGTATTTAATTTTTGCTCAGAAATTACCAATGAGGTGTAATCAGAATGAAGTCACGTGTCCAGACTTTATTTATTATTTTTTCTGACAGGAAAGAAGAATATTGCAGGGAGGGAGACAAAGGGGAAGCTGTAAGGAAGACGAAGAGAGAAAATTGGAAAAGAATGGGGAGGAAAGTCATAAAGTGAAATCCAGCTGAGAGCCGGAGATGGGGGGGGGGGGGGGGTTGCCGGAGGATGTTAGTAAAGTGTAAAAAGATGAAAAGCGTGAAAAAAATGAAGATTCACTGTAGCTTCTTCTCCGTGTATGTTTGTATGAAGGGAGTGAGAGGAAATGATGGAGTGCGAGAGAGACGGAGAAATAAAGTGAGAGATAATAGATATAAGATATCAATAAGCTCTTCACAGAAAGGTATTGGAAGGCAGAAGTTATGATTGGTGTGGGCAAGGAAGGCGGGGGTCACGGACGGGAGGCGGTTCCTCCAGCCCAAGGTTAGCGGTTCTGCGCCTACGGATCTGCGCCTCAGTGGGGCCGCAGCGTGCCAGGGGCGCTCTGCTTATGAGGTACATGGTATTTCAATCCTATTTGCATTACAACGGGATACTTACCCAGTTCGTTAGATGGCTTACCGAAAGTGCACCTATGCTATGCTTTCTCGGTTACGGCTAAGTTGCTACCCCATGATTAATTAACGTACAGGTGTGAAGTACTTACACGTAGAGAGAGTGAGCTTAACCCACTGTCCCGGGGGGCACGGCCCTTGGGTGAGGAGCTTGACACACTCCCCCGTCGCCGGCCACCTCACCTCCCCGATCATGGAGTTGCAGGTTCCTACTCCGGAGCGCAGGTTGATCACGTTCCTGAGCATGTTTCTGCGCCGCCGACCCGCCGCTGCTGCAGCTCAGGTTGAAGTCCGGGTTTTGGGGGGCGGCGCAGTTCGGGTCTCGACGGCACTGTTCGAGGGCGAGTCTGTCTCGGATTGTGTTGATTTCGTCGGGGAAAATGATCATGTTGGGGTCCAGCCCTTGGGGCGCCGCGGACACCGTCGCTGCCAGGAGGATCCACGACGTCACCGTTAACCGCAGCGACGCCATCAGGAACTGGATGTGGCTGGACTCAAAGTCGAACGCTAGCTTCAGGAACGCGCAGTCCGAATCGCTCGTGCTGATCCAGGCCGAGTGTTGCACAGACGATGTGTTGACGCAAGCTAACCCGAATCTGAGTGAGGGCGAGTGGGCAAATCTCCAGGTGGGCTGGAGACACGTGTTCACCTTCCAACGTCTCGCTGAGGACTGAGTGGTGGCCGATACGCTGCCATCCTATATACCGACATCCTGTCTTTGTTTACCTCCGCCCCGTGTCGTAAGGGAGCCAAAGCCCGTGGGTCTGGCCCGTCTCTGCGTCCCCGATATGCGTCAGACTCGGGCGGATCTGCAGGGGAAGGGAGCCCGAATTTTCCTAGAATGCTGTCCATGCTTCGACGCCTGCGGTGCGCGCTTGCGCGCTGATGCTTCGTGTTGAACGCGGTGTGTGTGTGTGTGTGTGTGTGTGTGTGTGTGTGTGTGTGTGTGTGTGTGTGTGTGTGTGTGTGTGTGTGTGTGTGTGTGTGTGTGTGTGTGTGTGTGTGATGATATTATTGTTATTATCTCATTATTTACATTGCTGTTACTGCTATAAGTTTCATTATTATATAATCATTTTTATCGTAATTTTTCAGTAATATTAATAATAATAATTATGATTACCATGTTCATCATGATGATAATGAGAACGATATTAGTAATATTAAGAGCAATAATGATCATGATAATAGTAATAATAATAAATATAATCACCATCATCATCAAAACTGTCATTATTAGCGTCACTGCAATTATCACTATTGCTGCTATTTAATAATTTTAGAAAGTATGATACACAATAACAAAGAAAATTATGTAACGAGCGCCGAGTCCCGCCTAACGTTACGGGCGGGAAACCCAAATTGAATTCACGCAATCAGCTGATCAACATAATTCTGCATACGTAATGAGGTCTGGCGGCGAGGAGATGGAGTAAGATGAGGATGGCGGGAAAGTTTGTTATTCTTTCTTCTTATCTCTCTTTCGTGTTTTTCTTCTTATCCGTTTCGTATTTTTGGCGGTGACTTTCTCCTTTGGCTGTTTATTTTATTATTTTTGTTGTTGTTATTGTTGTTGTTATTATTATTATTATTATTATTATTATTATTATTATTATTATTATTATTATTATTATTATTATTATTATTATTATTATTATTATTATTATTATTATTATTGTTATTTTATTATTGTTATTGCTATTGCTGTTTATCATCATCATCATCATCATCATCATCATTATCATTATTGTTTGTTGTTGTTGTCGTTGTTGTTCTTCCTGTTCTTGTTATATAGTTTTGTCATTGTTATTATCATTATTATTATTATATTATTATTATTATTATTATTATATTATTATTATTATTATTATTATCATGATTATCATTATCAATATCATTTTGATGATTATTGTTATTGTTATTGGGCTTATTGTTATAATTATTGTTATTGTTATTATCATTATTATTGGTATTGTTATTGTTATTGTTGTTATTGTTATCATCATTATTTGTCTGTTATTTCCATTATATCTATTTATTATTATTGTATTTTATTATTGTTATTATAATTATTTTTGTTATTGTAATAGTGAGTATGATCATTATTTTTGTTTGTGTTTCTTACTGATATTATTATTATTATTATTATTATTATTATTATTATTATTATTATTATATTATCATTATCATTATCATTATCATTATCATTATCGTTATCGTTATCGTTATCGTTATCGTTATCGTTATCGTTATCGTTATCGTTATCGTTATCGTTATCGTTATCGTTATCATCATCATCATCATCATCATCATCATGTTTTTGTTGTTATCATTGATATTATTGTTATTATGATATTACTGTTAGTGATAATGATAACAACAATAGTAATAATGATAATAATAATAATATAATAAAGATAATAATAATGATATAATAAAGATAAATAATAATAATATAATAAAGATAATAATGAAAATAATCATAATAATAATAATGATAATAATAATAGTAATAACAATAACAATGATAATAATAATAACGATAAAGATAATGATAGTTATTGCTACCATGTTACCACATTGTTATTATTGTCTTAGATGTGGATTTTTGCGCTTATGAACCATAATGAAGATAATGAGAAGGTGGATGCTGGTTCGCTCACATACTGCCATTCACTCGGAACCAGTATCGGCGCCACGAGTGATAAAAGATCAGGAGGTATTCAGATTGTTTAAGAAAAGAAAAGGAAAATTATCCTTTAAGATTTCCACGGCCGCTTCCAAGGTTCCGAATCCTGCTCCCACCACTTTAAGCCTTTCTCCTTTAGAAAAAAAAATAGATATATGAATGAATTAATAACTAGTTGATTAATCCCTAAATGAATAATAAGCGATAATCCACCGTCAGAAGTTGTCTTGTTGCCATAGATATACAAATGAATTGATAAATAGATAGATAATCCCTAGATGAATAACAAGTGATAATCCACCGTCAGAATTTGAGTTGTTGCCATAGATATACAAATGAATTGATAAATAGATAGATCATTCCTAAATGAATAATACATGATAATCCACCGTCAGTCGTTGTCTCGTTACCGCTCCAGGGCCATTTCTCGTGCAGCTTCTCCAGCCTAGCACTGAATTTGAACTTGACTTGAGATGATACTCTCACGCATGTCAAAAAATGAGCATCTTTACATTCCTTAAACTTTCGTCGAGGTAAACTATCTTCAAACCTCCACGTAGCAGATTGCCACTTGTTTTAGGTTGTGCTGATAAAAGCGGATTGCATCACTTGCAAGGTGTCCGCATCCCTTTGGCTAGCTGGCTTTTCGTGCAATTCACCAGGAAGGGTGCGAGGAATCATCCGAAGGCGACGCGCTCTAAAATTGCTGTTAAATATTGCCGTGACGTTTCATTTTCCAGCGTCTTGAGTCCTAAAGATCTCGGGAACGTTATTAATGCACCGCCCGTTTCTCACAGCAATATAGTTCCTCTGGGGCGACTGCTACACTTTTCATCTGCAGGGCTTTCTCGGCAGATTAATGGCAGATTTAGAATGTCGTCGTTCGGAGTCCTGCTGGCCTCGGCGTGCTGGAGGAGGTGCCTCGCCCGGCCTGGAAATGTCGAGGAACTGAGCTGGACATTTGGCCGTCCACCTGCAGATGGCGCGAGTGCAGGAGGAATCTTGTTTCAACATGTTTGCAACTTCCGGAAATGTTCCGTTCCGTCCTGTTATGTCATGCCAGTAGATAACGTGCTGGAGATTTTTCCCTATTACCTGAAGGCTTTAAAAAAACAAGATTTTGGGAGACATTTTTGTTCTTCCTCCATCATCTCCGCCTCGTCCCCTTCATCTTCCTCATCTTCTTCTTCCTCCTGCTCATTTTCAGCCTATTTCTAATTCTCATTTTCATTCTTCTCCGCATTCCTCCTCTTCCTCCGCCTCTTCGTCTTCCTCCTCCTCCTTTTTCCCTCTTCCACCTCCTCCTCTTCATCTTTATCCTCCTCCATCTTCTGCTTCTTCTTCATCATCTTTTTCTCTTCTTCTTTCACCTTCATCTTACTCCTCCTTCTCCTCTTCCTCTTCTTCCACTTCTTCCTTCTCCTCTCCTCCTCCTCCTCATCTTCTTCATCCTCCTCCTCCTTTTCATTTTCCTCTCCTCGTCCTCCTCCTCCTTTTTTTCTTCCTCCTCCTCCTCCTTTTCTTTTTCCTCCTCGTCCTCTTCCTATTTTCCTCCTCCTCCTTTTTTTCTTCCTCCCCCCTCATCTTCCTCCTCCTCCTCCTTTTCTGTTTCCTCCTCCCCATCTTCCTCGTCCTCTTCCTATTTTCCTCCTCCTCCTCCTTTTTTTCTTCCTCCCCTCATCTTCCTCCTCCTCCTCCTTTTCTGTTTCCTCCTCCCCATCTTCCTCCTCGTCCTCTTCCTATTTTCCTCCTCTCCTCCTTTTTTTCTTCCTCCCCTCATCTTCCTCCTCCTCCTCCTTTTCTGTTTCCTCCTCCCCATCTTCCTCCTCGTCCTCTTCCTATTTTCTCCTCCCCTCCTTTTTTTCTTCTCCCCTCATCTTCCTCCTCCTCCTCCTTTTCTGTTTCCTCCTCCCATCTTCCTCCTCGTCTCTTCCTATTTTCCTCCTCCTTTTTTTCTTCCTCCCTCCCTCATCTTCCTCCTCCTCCTCCTTTTCTGTTTCCTCCTCCCCATCTTCCTCCTCGTCCTCTTCCTATTTTCCTCCTCCTCCTCCTTTTTTTCTTCCTCCCCCTCATCTTCCTCCTCCTCCTCCTTTTCTGTTTCCTCCCCCCATCTTCCTCCTCGTCCTCTTCCTATTTTCCTCCTCCTTTTTTTCTTCCTCCCCTCATCTTCCTCCTCCTCCTCCTTTTCTGTTTCCTCCTCCCCATCTTCCTCCTCGTCCTCTTCCTATTTCCTCCTCCTTTTTTTCTTCCTCCCCCACATCTTCCTCCTCCTCCTCCTTTTCTGTTTCCTCTCCCCATCTTCCTCCTCGTCCTCTTCCTATTTCCTCCTCCTCCTTTTTTTCTTCCTCCCCCCATCTTCCTCCTCCTCCTCCTTTTCTGTTTCCTCCTCCCCATCTTCCTCCTCGCGTCGCTCTCCTATTTTCCTCCTCCTCTTTTTTTCTTCCTCCCCTCATCTTCCTCCTCCTCCTCGCTTTTCTGTTTCCTCCTCCCCATCTTCCTCCTCGTCCTCTTCCTATTTTCCTCCTCCTCCTTTTTTTCTTCCTCCCCCTCATCTTCCTCCTCCTCCTCCTTTTCTGTTTCCTCCCCCATCTTCCTCCTCGTCCTCTTCCTATTTTCCTCCTCCTCCTTTTTTCTTCCTCCCCTCATCTTCCTCCTCCTCCTCCTTTTCTGTTTCTCCTCCATCTTCCTCCTCGTCCTCTTCCTATTTTCCTTCCTCCTCCTTTTTTTCTTCCTCCCCCTCATCTTCCTCCTCCTCCTCCTTTTTCTGTTTCCTCCTCCCCATCTTCCTCCTCGTCTCTCTATTTTCCTCCTCCTCCTTTTTTTCTTCCTCCCCTCATCTTCCTCCTCCTCCTCCCTTTTCTGTTTTCCTCCTCCCCATCTTCCTCCTCGTCCTCTTCCTATTTTCCTCCTCCTCCTTGTTTCTTCCTCCCCCTCATCTTCTCTCCTCCTCCTTTTTCTGTTTCCTCCTCCCCATCTTTCCTCCTCGTCCTCTTCCTATTTTCCTCCTCCTCCTCCTTTTTTTCTTCCTCCCCCTCATCTTCCTCCTCCTCCTCCTTTTCTGTTTCCCTCCTCCATCTTCCTCCTCGTCCTCTCCTATTTTCCTCCTCCTCCTTTTTTTCTTCCTCCCCTCATCTTCCTCCTCTCCTCCTTTTCTGTTTCCTCCTCCCCATCTTCCTCCGTCCTCTTCCTATTTCCTCCTCTCCTTTTTTCTTCTCCCCTCATCTTCCTCCTCCCTCCTTTTCTGTTTCTCCTCCCCATCTTCCTCCTCGTCCTCTTCCTATTTTCCTCCTCTCTTTTTTTCTTCCTCCCTCATCTTCCTCCTCCTCCTCCTTTTCTGTTTCCTCTCCCCATCTTCCTCCTCGTCCTCTTCCTATTTTCCCCTCCTTTTTTTCTTCCTCCCCTCATCTTCCTCCTCCTCCTCCTTTTGTGTTTCCTCCTCCCCATCTTCCTCTCGTCCTCTTCCTATTTTCCTCCTCCTCCTTTTTTCTTCCTCCCCCATCTTCCTCCTCCTCCTTTTCTGTTTCCTCCTCCCCATCTTCCTCCTCGTCCTCTTCCTATTTTCCTCCTCCTCCTTTTTTTCTTCCTCCCCCTCATCTTCCTTCCTCCTCCTCCTTTTCTGTTTCCTCCTCCCCATCTTCCTCCTCGTCCTCTTCCTATTTTCCTCCCTCCTCCTTTTTTTCTTCTCCCCCTCATCTTCCTCCTCCTCCTCTTTTCTGTTTCTCCTCCCCATCTTCCTCCTCGTCCTCTTCCTATTTTCCTCCTCCTCTTTTTTCTTCTCCCCTCATCTTCTCCTCCTCCTCCTTTTCTGTTTCCTCCTCCCCATCTTCCTCTCGTCCTCTTCCTATTTTCCTCCTCCTCCTCCTTTTTTCTTTCCTCCCCTCATCTTCCTCCTCTCCTCCTTTTTCTGTTTCCTCCTCCCCAGCGTGTGAAAGCCCGTCGCGAGATGTGTTCCCGGGCGAGAGGACCGGCATCCGAAGATGACCCTTGGAAATTCCTCCGTCCGAAAGTCAGCGCTCGTCTTGATGGGGGGTGGGGGTGGGGGTGGGTGGGGGGGAGGCATGCAGGGATGTGTAATTAGAACTAATATATGTTTTTTTGGGTTAAGGGAATGTACGTGTATATGCAGTCGCATGCATGCACACGCAGCACGAAAGAACGCACGCAATTCACGCATGCGCACGACGCACACTTACACTCGCACACTTACACTCACTCACACATATTTACAGCGCACATACACTTACGCACGTATACACGCACGCATGCACGCGCACACGCACACGCACACACACACGGCACACGCACACGCACACGCACACGCACACGCACACGCGCCACACACACACACACACACAACACACACACACACACACAACACACACAACACACACACACACACACACACATACACACACACACACACACACACATGCACACACGCACTTACATCATTTTACATCATGTGCAGGGAAAATGCCTTTAAAGTCTCAAACGTTCTGGGCATTGTTGACGTAAACTGCGGTAGCGAGTGACTTATTAAAAGGAATTTACATGTGTACGATTCTGGTTATTTTGGATTCTTTGTTTGTTGGTTTAGTTCCATGTATTTATCTTTCTGGTCTGTCTTTCTTTTTGTCTTTTTTATTTATTTTCCGCATTTACTCCTATGAAAGCACTTGCTCATATCGTTTTTAAGGTATATATGTTTTCAGGTTTGTTGTGATATTCGAAAATCGTTACTCCTTTTCCGTGTTGTTATTGTGTCATGATTGAACCAGATAGATAATTCAGCGCGGATAGACAGTATTTGAAGATGCCTATGTTCTGAATAACACATATATTTAGTTTTCGTATTCACTTTTGTTTCCTGTTCATGCGTCATGTATCACCGTTATGTATGTTTCACCATTTTATGCCCTGCCACTTTAAGTTTGATAATCTTCACTTTAAATCCCCGCTTTTCTTTTTTTTTCTCTCTTTTTTATTGCAATCTGTGGTTAGAGAAGACGGATTGGAACGCTTCTTTGTTTACAGTGCTCGTGTGTGTTGGTATATCCACCGAAACGCATTCAACGGCAAAGGAAAGGGATACATATATTTTCCTGTTTCTATACTTGTGAGAATCCTGATATACCTGGTTTTAATGTGACGTCACAGCCCGATTACGTATCCCTAACTCGGTATCATCTGGGATGACGTCACAACCGGTGTTCTTGTCTGTGTTTAGCTTAGGTCTTCAGCGTCATTTTTTTAATGTATATATTTTGTTATTTAATGTTATCGTGTCCCTGCCTCTTCTCTCCCTTCATCTGTGTTTGTTTTTTTTTCTTCACATTTCACCCACCAATCTGTTCGTCTGCTTGCCATTCCCTTTTTACTTAGTTATTCCTTTTTACCTTCCACTCGTATTACCGCACCCAGCACCCCCGCCTACAGTGAGCCTCTCCTCCCCAGGTACGCCGACAAGAAACTGAGGTATTATCGGCTGAGGAAGGAACTGCTGGAGCAAGAGGAGGAGGTGACGCGGCTGCACCAGACGAAGACGAGGCACCTGCTGTTGGTGAGACCTTTGTGGCTTTTTCGCCCAAATGATTCTGTTGGTGTTGACTTTGGGATGTGATTGACATGTGTTGGGGGTTGATTTGCGGGGGGGGGGGGGGATTGCGTAGGTAGGAAAAGGTAGATTTATATTTTTAAAGTGTTTATTTTAGGTAGATTTGTAAGTGTT